GCAGGGTTTCCCGTATGCCTCCTGCTTGATATTACGGTTTGGGGAAGGGGAGGGAAGGAAGAACACCGAAAAAATGCAACGTCTCACTACACAGCCCTGCCCAAGGGCAGAGGAGAAGGCAGAGAGCCGCCGGCAGCGTGGCAGCAGCGACTGAGCCTTGGTGCTGGGAGGCTGAAAGGAAGGGAACGCTGACGGGCTGTTCAGGAGGGAGCTGCTGGCAGGGGAAAAGCATCCCTGCGTCTAGGAACAACTTCATGAGCTACCTGGGAGAAGGGCTTGCATGAGAGGCAGCGCTACGTGGCCTCCAGAAGACCCTGCGGGGCAGCATGGCTGTGGCTGTATGATGTTGCCAGCAAGGACTGAGGTCAACCAAGGATGGTTTAGGAAGGGCTCGTCCTTGGGTAGCAGGTACCGGGGACTGACCAGGCTCAGCGCAAACGGATCAACACCTTTGCAAGTGCCACGGTGTTTGCTAGTGATGTTAGACCTGACTGTGGGACTGACACCCCTGGCTCAATCTTACTGCCAAACAGCACAACCGTGCTTTGATCTCTCCAGTTCAGCTTCACTTTCCATGAATATTGATGGGCACTTAGCGTGTTCCACTGCATCAAATCCTGCCAGAGTCCTGCTTACACCTGGACTGGAGCTTTGGCAAAGAGAAAACCCCCCAAACCCCAGCTAGACAATGCAGGGGAAACCACCGTGTGATATTATTGCTGATCCCTGTTGCTGTGTGCCTTGAAATAAGAAGATTTTATTTTAATGTCCTGACAGCTCTCTACCAGTCTCTTTGCACATCAGTGGCTTTGCTCCAATTGAGCTTTGGACCAAACCAGTGCCCCAGAAAGTGACCTTAACACTTGCTGCTTGTTGGTGTCACTGGACACCTTCATCTGGTACGTGATGGGGCAGGGTGACTGGGTGACACGTGCTCCTGGTTAGCTCTCCGTCCCGCTCAGCCCATGCGACCTCCAGCACCGAGAGACCAAAGCACCCCCCAGCCGCTCAGCTGCAGCTTGGCAAAACACTTACAACCCTAAAACTTCTGCTCTGAAGTCACCTCCAACCACCACCCGCCTCAACGTCTACCAGAGCATCTGCTGAGCATCTGGTGGCCTCTGTCTGGGCACATCCCAGACCTTGGCGCAGACCTGACTCCACAGCCGAGGGGCACAGCACCACCTGGTGAAGCTCTACGGCTTAGCTCCGGCTTGACCACGAGGAAGCACAGCTGCTTCAGTTTCACCTCTGATGCC